TAAGGAACAGATGAAGTTCATCAACTCTGATATTTTCCAATGGTATGTTTAGCAGGGGTTGATGTACACAACCATAATTGTTTGACTTTCCAGCTATTTTCTTCATTTCATCAAGTGTTCTAGCATTCTCTTTCTGCCAATAATAATTTTCTGGCTTAGACATGTCCCATCTTAATTTAAAAAGAACATGCAAAATAACTAATAATATTCATTTAACATATCAAAGAGGGCTTACAGTGGCTTCCTTGCATCAGTTCTGCTCATAACAATGGGGGACTACCACAATCAGTTTGCATACTTTTCTGAATACAAGCTCTTGCTCATATTCATTTGCAACTATATAATATGGGTATTTTCCAGGGAAAAATCAGAAATTAGCCACAAGCAACAACCACCAACAGCTTATATGCATGTTAACTAAGGTAATTACCAAAGCGAGGTGAAGAGATATATGAAAACTAGTTTTGGTGGTCAACCTCTGGAAGTGCAGTTGTACTATGTTCACAAGGTGTGTTTTTACCTTTCAGTTTTAGGTATAGTGCAGTAAATGCATGCATATACGGAATTTGCGGCATTGAGTCCCAACACCAACAATAAAAACTAGAAGTGGAAACAAAAAGCAGAGAAATATAAATATTTAAGTACACCTAGCCAGTGTACTGATGCAATTAAGATATCCCCTCTAAATGCAATAAGCCAAGCGAAGAAATTCGGGGGGTGACTGCCTAAGAGACATTGTGGCATGCTCCTGTTAGAAAGTAATTTGTCAGATCATGAGAATATATTAGACATATAGCCATAACTGCTATAAATAAAATCTTGATCACAATGTTTTAGTTGTTATTAAGCTGCAATACACACCATTGCGCCCTGCATAAATGCCTTTTAATCTAACCTTATAATCCCCTGACAAGTAAAAATCCAAAGGGATGTCTTGACCATTTACACTGATGCTCTTTTTATCAATTAAGTCATTTATTTCTTGGAATACTTCCCCACAGGTAACTTTTATGACATCATAGTGTTCTTTTCCTGACACCACTCCAAAAACATGATTCCCTGTTTGTAATAAAATAAAAGAACTGTTAGTAACAAAATGATGCTGGTTTGTCAATTTTTGTCATAATCTGATGCATAATAAAAAGCTTTCTTACCATAAGCAGACATAATTTGAGCCTCATCACTGATTAACGAGAAAGACAAGACAATAAAGTTTGCAATCCTTGACATCTTAGTGCCATCTCCACTTATCTTTACTTTTTCTCCATCATTATTAATTGATCCTTCATCCATTTTCTGTTATTATATAAATCAAGAATAACATTTTAATGACAAGTCTATATATCATGATAGTAACTATATGACATTAATGCTCTACAATTATAATAGTCCTAATAATATTTGTTGCATGGATTAATTACATCCAACTGCATGAGGATATTTAGTTTATAAATTTAAAGACAGATGTATAATTTGAAAACAGAGGGTTGTTGATAGGAATATTTTTGTGAGACCTTGTAAGGTGTTTGATTATAAGGTAATTAATACATGCAGCTCAATAGATGAATATAACCTGGCTAACCTTTTTCAGCTGATAATGAAGTTCTTCTTTGAAACTCATTTGAACACCAGGTTGTTCTCCTGGTGTCCTTGTTATATGTATGAGCTTATTAAGGTCGCTCCTACATTGTCGTACTAAATAACTCCTCTCCATGCCATGTACACTCATTGAAAATTCATGGTAGGCAGCATCACTGACAGAAAACCTGTCCATAATAAAAAGCACACCTCGAATTTTATCTTGATCCTCATTACTCAATTCACTAAAAATTGACTTCTTTTTTTCCCATTTTGCAAAATCGATTTGTTGTGGCTTACCATCATTGTCAACAAGTGACAATGAATGTAATTTCACACCAAAGCTTTCTACAAACCAAAGTGCCCTTTCCACCCTTGTTGAAAGCAGTTTCATCTTTCGAATCTTTTGTCTCTTGCCTACCTCAGACAGGCTCTTTCCACTGTTATTTAGTTCCTCATCACAAACACTGCATGCCGAGCTATAACCTTCAAGGCTTTCAAGATAGTCGATGTAACTCTTCAGTTCTTTATTTTCATTAGCTAGAGTTTCCAGCGCTATGTTATGTGTTTCTTGTTCTTTTTTCAGTTTTTGCTTTTCAACTATTAGCTCTGCAAGCAATTCCTCACATCTTTCATCCACTTCCTTCAGTTTCTCTTTCAAGTTTAAATTCTCCTGCTCTGCTTCTAACACTCGTTTGCTCAGGTTACTAACATTCACCAATTCATCGCCATACACATATATAATTTTAACTTTTTGAAGAAACTTTTCTCTGGTGTAGCCAGCAGTGCCTTTACATTGATTTTCAACTCCGCTAGATAGAACTCGAAATCTTTCCTCTAGTCTAGGGGCATCTTCCTTAATTTCAAAAGGAAGATCGTGAGCAACTAAGCGATAGATTTGTAGGAATGAGACGCTCGGAATTCGCTTCTTTATTCCTCTCCATTGCAGTAATGTCTTGTTGGAAACACTAATCTTTAACAGAGGATATCCACTTCTCTGCTCTAGAACATATCCAACAGAAGCTGGGGAACATAGATTTTTAAGTTCTTTTTGGACTTGAATATCAAGACTACACATTATATATTTATATATGTAAATCCCGATGAAAATTCAGGTCGTAATTTTGCAAATTTACCCAAGCAAAGCCAATAAAGCGTTTAAACTTTGGCGCTCTTTTGTGTTTTGGTGTATTTTTAATGAGTTTGAAGAGTGTACCGCTGACTGTATGGTACCACATGCTCAATATTTAAACATTTACAAAATGGCAGAAAAAAAAATTGGCTTTAAAGTGAGCTTTCTTGTCGAATTTTGACCATTTTCCCAAACAGGGTAGTTCTCAAAATGGCTAATTTGCAAGATGATCTCGCTTATAGATAAAGCGAAATTAAAATATTAAATATAAATATGAAAATATTTTATATCGGCTCAAGATTCAGATAATTTTCAAGATTGAACTTTCGTTGTGTTGGCTAGTGGTAGACAAATGCCCAATTCCCTTTTCGTGTCCGGAATTTTAACAGGTCAGTATACCGTTTTTGGATAATTTGAACTATAATAGCGTACAGTGCTATCGTTAATGCAGAAATTATTTTTGGCAAATATAAATATGAAATTATTATCCAGATTGTCAACTATACGAAAACGTTATTCCACATGTATTCCAAAGTCACACTAAACATAGACATTTTTAAAATATTACTTAGTGAAGTGATTAAATCGCGATTTATCCATTTCAGTCATACTTTTGCAGTAATTTCCACCATCTTGTTTCTAAATTCTGAGCCGAATTAATTATTGCGCAACCACCGAATGTCACTTTTTTCTGGCGATGATCTCATTTTACGGGCATTGATGTTTACCCATTTCATGCAACCTTGCTGTTATTCACCATATAAACCTTTTGAATTGCAGAACTGGGTAGCATCAGTAGATTACATTGTTTGTCTTAATAGACTGTGCACACGTACTGTATGTAGCTGCATATGGCTACTAATGTAATACCTATGTGGTAAATATTTGTAAATTGTGCTCACTGTATCAACCATTGAGTGACAGTGTATTCAAATCAGTTCTGTCTACTGCCAATTATCACAATATTATAACTCAATAAGCTGATCTTTTTGTCTGCCACCTGGCACCTAGTATACGTATGTGTTAAGTTGTATCTTGAGGGCTCTACCTGGTTTACAACAAATAGGAAGAGCACACACATGAGACAGGCAATCCAGATTCCAGCAAGTTAATTCCATACGATGGGCTCAAAATATAGTGTGCCTCCTCTACAAAATTGAAACATACTAATATATGTCTGTATGCTTCGCCTTTGCTGACCAATATGTATCAATTAGTACATTACTGATCAGCTACCTCGCATTTGTAGCATGTAAATTAGCTATATCTGTAATTCTCGATATATTTCGAACCTTGTTTAATTTCCATATTTGCGACGCCGACCTGGTTTCCATATGACGCCGACCTGTCGCTGACTCATTGTTTGTAATCATCCAAGGAGAAAATGATTGCAGAAAGCTTAAGACAAAAGATTTCACTCATCAATAAAAGACAATAATCACCGACAATAATACTTTGCCCACGTCGGCGTCTATGGAAACCAGGCTTAAGGTTCACGCACGCCGCATGGCAAGCGCTTTTCTGCGTTTTACCCCTTTTTCCGCGTTTTACCGTTTTTTCCGCGTTTTACCCTTTTTTCCGCGTTTTACCCTTTTTTCCGCGTTTTACCCTTTTTTCTGCGTTTTACTCTCTTTTCCGCGTTTTACCCTTTTTTCCGCGTTTTACCCTCTTTTCCGCATTTTACCCTCTTTTCCGCGTTTTACCCTTTTTTCCGCCAACCTCGTTCCCAGGGCCAATTTCAAAAAAGAGGGGGAAAGGGGAAATTGGCCCTGGCATCGGCCGGTCACGTGTTTTCAGAACACCCACGTATAGTGGGTGTTCTAAATTAACATAAATTAAACATATGAATAATTAGCGAAAGACATTCAATATGGCGTATTATTCTGATGTAGTAGGGTTCCTTGAACTTTTCAAGAGAGTGCAAGTTTGCCAACAGTGGAGAAATTTTCCTTCTATAAATTTTAAACCTTTGCAAATGAAATGCCTGGAGTATTTGCTTAAAGGATGTGATGTTATTGGCGTACTCCCGACAGGTTTTGGGAAATCTATGCTTTTCCATCTGTTGCCAGATCTAATTCCCGTAAAATCACGAAAAAATATAGTAATTGTGATTTGTCCTCTAAACTCTATTGTGGAAACCAGCTGAGGGTGCTGAGTGCAATAAATATTTCCGCTGGGGTCATACAATTTGCCATTAACGAGCGGAAACCGGCTGAAGACTTGTTCACGGAAGGTAGTGAAAATCGCAAAATTCACTTGAAGGAAACGCTGATGGATGTAGAACAAGAAATAGTAAATGGCAATACTTCCATTGTATTTGCACACCCGGAAGCCCTGTTGAAATCTAAAGGAAGGGAACTGATGGGAAGTAAAGTGTTTCAAGAGAACGTTGTTGGTTGTGTAATAGATGAGGCTCATTGTGTCGAGTTATGGTATGTAATTGTAAGTCGTTCCTTCAGCATTTAACTCTAGTGTGATGTTTGACCCAATCATGCATACTTGCACGTATTGCATTAAGAATTAGTTGCAAAACGCTTTCTGACGTTTTCTTGATTAAAATATCTTCTGGTGTAGGTGATTGAGGTAAATTCAATCATATATTATTTTGTTTGTTATAAGTTTATAATAGGAGGTAATGTTTATTCAGCCATGGTTAGTCGCTGATGTTGTACTAATGAATATTTTAGGGGGAAAGAGTTTAGAAAAGATTTTGGTGAACTGTCTATTTTAAAAGCATTTTTCCCTAATGTTCCAACCCTGGCTTTAACAGCTACAGCCCCACCTCATTTATTAAATGATTTAAAACACAAACTCCAATTGAAAAAAGACTGCAAGATTGTTACAGTAAACCCAAACAGAGAGAACATATATCTTGGAAAGAAAGTACGTTCAAGTGATCACAAAAAGTTTGAAAGTTATAATGAAATTCTGGGACCTGTTGCAAAGGAACTATTGATTAAAAAAGAAAACTACCCAATGACAATTATCTATATGAAACTGAAATACTGTGCACATGCCTACCGATTGTTTGAAAGAATTCTGCAAGATGAACAGTATGTTAATGGATGTGAAGAACCTATGGCAAGACTTTTTGCCCAGTTTCATTCTCCCCAAACAAGTCGAATGAAAAGGGAATTAATTGAAGAAATAAAGAAAAAGGACTCAACGGTCAGGGTACTGTTTGCAACATCAGCACTTGGTATGGGTGTTGATGCCCCATATGTTGCTCAAGTGATTCACATATCCCCTCCAAGTACTTTAGAAAGTTACATGCAAGAGATTGGTCGTGCTGGTCGTACTGGTATTCAGTCATATGCAACATTATATTACAACAATTCTGACATTGGAAGTCATAAAAAGCATATTCAAGAATCAATGAAGAGCTACTGCAAGTCAAGAGAAGTCTGCTTAAGAAAGCAGCTTCTAGAATATTTTGGATTTACTACACCACGGCAAGAAAATTGTTGCTCTGTATGTAATGAGGAGTATACAAATACTGTTGTCAGCTTAGAAGTTTCTAAAGTGAGGCGTCTACAAGGTGATGGTACTGTTTTGGTGAGCCTGATCAATAGTGTCTTGTCCAACTATCAGTCTGAAGAAAAATCAGAGTGTTTGTTAATTCCTTCAATGTTAATTGATGAATACCTAGCTGAAAGGGTTGTGATGCAAATTGAGTACATTGAATTGGAATCAGACCTCCTTAACAATTTTGGCATATGGGATGAAGTATGTTCTTCCAAGATATTCTCTATCATAAATGAGCACACTTGTTTAATCAAGTGATGTCACTATAAGGTATTAGATGATATGTATGTGCCATTACATTGGTGTAGCAAGCCTGATGATTTTGTCCTGCTATGCAAATGTCAAGTCATTATAATTATTCATTTCTGTAGAAATTCATTGTTTTCACAATCAATGAACAACAAGATATTAGCATAGGATGACCTAATGTCCGGCTGGCTGCTACTGTATCAACAGAAATTGCTCATGTTCAAACAATTTCGTTGAATAGTTGTTCCAAACAAGTTTACTTAGAACTTCAGATGACTCTTTACCTAACACTTTTGTCATAATCACATATTCTTTTACTTCACAGAGAGTTAATTACCATTTCTTAAACCTGCATAAAGGGTACTCAATTTCAAAGAACAACTCAATTTGGAAATTCAGTTTTGTGCTTATCTAGCCATTTATGAAATTCGACTACATTCAAGTACTTTAATGGACTCTTCTTAATGTTTGGAAAACTGTCATGATGCCTTTCTGGAACATGATTAAAAGGATCCAATTGCACAATCTCATTTACCATCTCTTTTTCATCCTTTAGGGAGTCACGGGTTGTATGCTTTACAGACTTCGCATGGATATGTAGAGAGGCATCAAACTGCTCTACAAGAAGATGTATACCAGAACTTGCCTTACAAACTTTGCTTATTGAAGCCATGGTTTTGTTTGGGCCCATTCTTTGGACAATACACTTGCCAATTCGATTTGAAATTTCTTGGGCCAAGTCATCTTTAATATTATTCCCGATGCCCCCTCTCCAGTTCGAAAAAAATCCCCATTTAAACTCTTCTGAGAGACGAGGTGTAAGCATGCATTCAATTTGAGATATACTAACGAACATTTCAACCGCGTATTTGGAATATGATCCCATCGATTTGAAAACTGATAACAAGAGCTTTTGGTTGATCAAATTACGGTGACCATCGTCTTCCGCTGAAGTGTCTTTCATTTGCATGATCAGAACAGCCAAAAAAATACAGGAAAGAGCATAGTTTTTTACATAGTCATCTGCACCATCGCAATCATCAGCATCAACTTTCTGTAAAACATATTTGTCGACAAATTTTCCGAAAGCATCATCAAAATATTCTTTCTTTGACGATACGCTGCCATGTACAATATTGTCGGGAAATTGATGTGATGATGGTTTATCAGAGAAGTTGTTCATCCCGAAAAAATTTAACGCAGCAGAAACAATGTACGCTCTACCCATGCTGAGAAATAATTCTTCACTTCCTTCAAAAGAGTCGAGAACTTTGGAAGCGGTTGCATTTTTCCTGTTATACTTCTCTCTAAAGTATTTAAGAGTGCCTACTTGATTTACAGAATCAGACTTGTAAAGAAATGAATAGGAGTACTGTAGGAGCGATGCTTTAGTGTGCCACATGACCGGTTTAAAGGGCGAGCAATGTTCGAAACGATCAGAGGGTGTGTGTGATCCAGCCAGTAAGTCTTTCGCTCCTGCAAACCTTACTCGAGTTAACTGATCACCTGCAAATGCTATCTTCATCTCGCGCATTGGGTCATCGATCGTATCTCGTCTATGAGCATCAGTCTGGCCAGGTGCTGCAGAACCAGAAGGAACAGGTGGATTATCCATCACTGGCATTTCATTAAGCATTCCGGCTTTAAAATAGATTTCTGCAATCCACTTTTCGTAAGTCCTCAAAATCGTTGCGCAATCTTCATACTTCGCTTCGTTGGCATTTATGATAGGTAAGCTTACTATAGTTGACTTTCTTGACATTTCTTTAGTATAATCATGAGGAATATGCGTTGGAATCACAGGTTTCAAGAACTTGAACGAAGGGAAAAAATCAAGGATAATCCGACCAACAAGGACCTTAGCACATTCTGCATATTTCTTCATTTCATTTATGTTCAATGAAAATTTGCTTCTTGGAAATTCCTTTATGTTTCCTATTATCTTGTCATTTGGCAAATGTTTGAAACTCACCCTATTTTCAATTAGGTTACTCGCAAACAAATGTAAGTCTTCATTCTGAATCTCCTTTCTCATATGTCCTTTTAGAATCTTCAAATCCCAATTGTCGCCAGTGCCTCTGAAAACCTTTCCTTCTTTGACTTTCTCAACAACAACATCTGAGAAGTGACCTCCTACTAGACTGAGAAGCATTTCCCTCCTCCCAGGAGACAAGCACACGCCAAGCTTATTCAGCCTTTCTTGAAGCTAAGAACAATGAAATGAATAAAATATTTGTACTTTTCATAAGTCAGCTTTGTCCCAAAACCTATGAGTTGGATTATAAAAGTGAATATATTTATGCACATCATGTTTGTTGATATACTTGGTCTTCTGGCTTTGAAAGGTGAATAGCACTGTCTGCTAGAATGTGATTTTTGAAGCCTTCAATTGCAGGGCAATAATTTTTTAAGCCATGATTTATCATAACATAAAACTAGGGTACCAGCAAAGTAGGGTGAATATAAGCCATTTTAATCTTTTTGTGTATGTTTCATGTTTCTTAACAATCAATCAACAACGAAAGTGTGGACTACATGTAACTTAATGCTGACACTTTGCTAGCAATCATGACTAACATGATGTAATTATTTTATGATTTCTGTGTGATCATTTCTATTCTTATATACCATACATAAAATACTGCTACTGTGACTTTAAATCAAGCTTTGCAAACCTAACTTGGTTAAAATGGTATTTTAGAAAAAATAGAGAAGCCTTTGAAATTTTCATCATGCATGCATAAACAATCATGATTGTTTATCTGACAAACTGAAGGGTAATTGTGTTGTTTATTTCATTACAAATATATATTCTCAAAATGCCATGTGGCTCAGAAATTATTATTGTTTTGTAAAACATTTGTATTAGGAGGACATGTCACCCTTTTTAACAGATACAAATTTCCAACTTCTACTTAACGTTTTACGCAGAATATGTTTCCAAAATTGTCCGTCTATAGGGGTTTATTGGTACCTGTTTGCTACATCCACCCTCAATGATTAGTAAAGTTATCATTCGTTTTACATAAGTAAGTTCATGCCATCTCTCATTCATAAGAACAGAGTACAAAAAGGCATATTTCACTCGCAGTCCAAGTTCCATATCTTCGAAACTATCAACGTTATCAGCTACTGGCTCATCAATTCCACTAGGAAAGGTTGGTTTGTTTTCAGTTCCTCCCAGATATTGTTGAAATCGAAATCTCTTAAGCTTGCGAAATCTTTGCCATACAAAACGGATCCATTTGAACGCTTACACAGTTTTGCACAAGATTGTCGTACGTCTTTACATAGCAGCTTTTTCATGGCACTCAAAACATTTGGACAATGTTCTTTTAAAATAGTTGCCAGCACAGAAGCATCCCTGCTGCTTAACGCTTGGGTTATCATTTGTTGTTGCCTTTCCGTCAATAATAATACCGCTTGCGTGTCTAATTTAAATGAGCCATCTGCTTCCGAAGCTGGCTTCGGCAAGAGAGCTAGTTGTTGCGTTCTAAATTGTGGATCTAAAGGCGATAGGTCCTTCATTGGTTCAGTGCCATCAGCTCTTTCGAAAAGCACTTTCGGTAGTTTTGAACTTGCAGTTATTTGATGAGAACGCTTAGCGAGTCGTTGAGATGGCGATTGCTCTATGCATCGTTTCACAGAGAATTCATCTAGCGGCTTTTCTTGCAATGACTGAGCCTTTCTAATAAAGGCTTCCATCTTATCCATGAACGTTATGCATTGCCGACACAACACTTGCGAGTTATTTTTATCATCAGAAATAGCTATACCACAAAGTTTTTGTACTTTAGCACACAAATCTTTAGACGAACCAGCTTTCCCGAATATCCGCACCATATGACGACTTGCTGGACAGCTACCACAAAGAAAGCAAGCTGGATTTCTAACTGAAATTTTAGTCGGTGTGACGTTTGTAACATGAGATTCCGCCATGGCGCCATCATAAAATAATTTTAATTATTTTGCGCTGGTTCAACTTTGCATAAATTAACAATACTTGCAAGCCAATCAGAAGCCATAATCGACCGGCTGATGCCAGGGCCAATTTCCCCTTTCCCCCTCTTTTTTGAAATTGGCCCTGGGAACGAGGTTGTTTTTTCCGCGTTTTACCTTTTTTTTCCGCGTTTTACCCTCTTTTCCGCGTTTTACCCTTCTCTCCGGGTTTTACCCTCTTTTCTGCGTTTTACCCTCTTTTCCGCGTTTTACTCTTTTTTCCGGGTTTTACCCTCTTTTCCGCGTTTTACCCTCTTTTCCGCGTTTTACCCTTTTTTCCTCTTCCGCGTTTTACCCCTTTTTCCGCTTCCGTCATTCCGCTTCCGCAATTCCGCTTCCGCGTTTTACCCTTACCCACTAAAAAAACCTGTTCCCAAAGCGATGGCTCTAATTGGAATTACATTCCGGTGCCGTATAATATAAAAAGAGCAAATGAAGGCAACCAACGCGAATGGAGAAGCGAAGTCAAGCAGCGGTCACGGCGTCGGACCATACGTTGACGAACCGGTTGCTGGTAGTAAACAGCTCAAAAATTATCGCGAAAAGAAGCAATCGTATGCCGATCGTCTCAAGGAACTTCAACAAAGACTTGATGGTATTGGGATTTGAGCAAATTGTAAATGATTGCTTTAACTTTGGTTGCGTGACTTGTATTGCGTGACCCTTGCCCTGGCATATACATTACGCTTTGTAAATATGGTATTCAAACTATTGTACATTATTTCAGGTGTAAATGTGGCAATTGTCGCATTGAACTTTTACATAACGCTAAAGAGTGCCAATGCTGTACGGAAATTGAAGAGCGCGCGTTGATTCATTAGGAAGCGATATTGTGCTGCAAGATCTAGATGTTGACGAATTGCCAACATGTATAACCAAGCATCCTGGTTTTAATAGTCTGTGTCTGGACACCTGGGCCTTACGTTTAGCAGCAGCTAAATTGCGAACACGAAAGAAGCAGGAGTATCGGCAAACAAGTACACAAGATAGGTAAATATACCTCTATTCTATATTTCACTGAACACATAATATACTTTGTTAATTGCATTAGCAGGCTACTGTTATATTAGTATTAACTGTATTCTACAAAATCGATTTCCGCACATGTGAGTTTTTTTACTTGAATACACAATTATGGCCTCATATCTAATGGCCTAACTTGATAATTATCCGTAGATTCTTCAGAAGCACAGCATACAGAACATTCGTATGGATGGTGTATGGACATCTTGGAAACAGAAGATATCCCTTGCTTGCGTGTGCTTACGAGAAAATTAGGAGGGCACTCATGCCTGCTATTCATGAAGACTTTGTCGGATTTGTAGAGGAAGACAGTTCTTAAGTGTAATAACTTTAGCCAAACTATTATAAAAATAAAGAACAATTTTGTATACGGATGTGTGCATTAATGTCTCATGCATGTGCTAACGAAAATCAGAATGGAAATTTTATCTAGCAACGTATATATACAGTGGATATAGACTGGGTGATGCTCATTTCCTCTTTTTTGAGTTGAAACAGAAAATGTACTTGTAACATTAGTTTTTTTTTCTCTCGTAAACCATCTCGAATCGCAACATGATCTGGAAACAACAGTTTGGAAACGTATTTCTTATTATTAAATAATTATACTTTTATTAGTACATGATAAAGTGAAAATAAGAATAATCTATACAAGATGTGAAAGACAATTAAACCAATGGCACGGCTTCTGATTTTTCGGGCAGTCTTTTATCTTTTTGTGCCCCTTCATCGGGTTCTTGCAAACTGCGCATCTTGGAGGCGCTCTTTTTGCCAAAATGTGCCTGAACAAAAATTAATGTTTGTTAAACATAGTGAAGGTAAATGGATTTAATATTATCTACATCTACTATAAACTATGGAGCACGCATTACCTGCAAAATATCCCAGTGAATGAGTAGGCGTTCATTTTGGGGGAAAAATGTTTGACAACAAAGTGAAAACCTTCCAAAAAACTTGTCTGGTCTAATGGAGAAGCTTGTTTTATTCCTTTCACCAACGACGTTTTAGTGACAGCACTGCTAAGTTTGGTATTTGCAGGCGAGTCTAAATAAAAGAATTAAATTATCATCATTGCAGCACATATGGATTCAATAGCACCTAATGGAGAGAATATTATTACCTTGAAGAATCCACTTTCTTGGTTCAAGTTCACTATGAAGGCACTTGTTATACAATGCATCATCAAGATCATCGTGCTTGTCAACCCTGTCGCTCAGGAATGATTTGAACTTTGCCCAAATGATCCTATCATTTCCAGAATGAGTTGAGGTGGAACTCCAGTAAAGATGGTTGAGACATGGGTGAACCCACTCAGCTAATTCAGTACAATTAGCTTCCTTCGCCAATTTGGATAACACTTTATGCAACTTTGGAATACACGCAATTGTTGACTGCTTATTCTTTTTGATGTTTTCTTTCCGTCTCGAAAATTTATACTTACTCCTTTTCAAGTGCCATAAATCAAAATAATGGGTTATATTATACAGTTTTTCCCTCATGTGCTTAGCAATTTTTTGATGTCTGCCGGATACGAGAGTTGACAAATCCAAGCCTTCACCTAAAAGGAAACACATACCCCTTTTGAAGCATTCGTATTCCATAGCCGGACCGCTACCAACTTCATTTCCCTTTTAAAAAAAATTATGTTTGGATGAGAGTTAACTTTGATTTTGCATTGTTCTTACTTGTATCAAGCTAAAATGAATTATTTCCGGTGAAGTACAGAAAAAGTTCGTGTGAGTACCATATATCACACCATGTCCTATGCTGTCATGCCGTCCGTCACCCGAGATCACCAAAGACTCTAACAATTTTAAACGCTCATTTCAGACGATTTTTCTTTGGTAATCTTGCCAATGAATAAATATAGCAGGGGGCAAGAAAGTCTGTAGAAAAAAAGACAAAATATTAAAAGAAAATTGAAATATCCATTCTGCCTTGTTTTGCCCTCTTTTGCAAATTCGTTGTGTACTGGTTAGGTAACCTGAAATTATATAGTTGAAAATGTTATACATACACGTTGGTGTCTATAAAATGTCTCCAGAGATATTCTAGAAAGACCCATGTGCTGAAACATATGTATTACTTTCGCAGTTGATCCCCCTGAGACTAAAATGGAGAAATTTTGAAGGAAATCTTCAGCATTGACTTTCGACCCAGGCAACAAAACACTCCGTCACTGACCACAGTTTGCATTTCCACAATTGCTTTCAACTACTAAAGCGCTTCCATCCGCAGTCGCTTCCACCAGGACACTGTCCGTTTTGCAAAAATGGCAGAATTTAAACAGCAAAAGTAACGATGAATTTTTGGCTGATGCCTCAAATTTTCACTGCCGAGGGAATCCCTACAAAGAAAAATTAATCTTTATGTCTATTATCTACTCAGAATCTACTATACTGAATAAACCAAACAATTCGTTATTACGTGCCTAAGATATTACAGCTATTTTCAGCATCGCACTCTCGGTCAGATTCTATATCCTCTTCGGAGTAGAGAGCGTCATCTTCTGTTTCCTGTTTTTCATCTTCTGTGCCTGTGGTTTCGTCTCCCGTAGTATCAGTGTCATCACCGCCGGTTTCAGGCTTAGAGTCAAACATAGTTGCTGTTGTTGAAATTTTGCCGTTATGTTGGTCGTCATTGTTTAAAAGTATACTGCAATAAATACCTAAATAAATCAGAGATTTGTGACGAGTACGTAAATTCGCTGTACTCTGCCACTTTTCAGCTTTCGTTTGCCATTTTATTCGAAGTTTCCCTGCCCTGCGTGGGTGCAGGTATTTGTACAAGGTGCTCAGTTAGATATTGAGATGTTGAAAGAAGATTTTTCCTTCATTAATTGTGACACAATGTTTACTGTTAATTTTTCTTGTTAACGTTACAAGTGAGAGTACTAAATATAGCAATACTTATTTGATATTCCTCAAAAATTTTAATTTAAAGGTTTAATTTTAATCGTGGGTTAATTTCTCGTGTAGTTACAATTTTTAATTTCTCGTGTATTTACAATTATTTTATATGCGTGAATCATAATGAAATAATTTACTTGAAAATAAGTATGAATAAGTTACTTAAAACACTGCAAAAGAGCATCTGCGCATACCCCAAACATTATGCTGGTAATGTGCGAGCTTTTTAGAAATAATTATCTCAAATGTACTTACAAACAAATTTACAAGGATATTATTCAGCCAGAATCTACTCCGTTGACTCGCTGGGGGCTTAATAATGCCAATGTAATCACGTGGTTTACTGATACACTACAATTGCCTAAATAGCATAGGACCTCAGCATAGATACATATTGTACCGTTTCAAATGCTGTGTGACTAACGATGCCAATGTTATACGGCATAAATTTTTTGACATGGCTGTTCTAAAACATACAATAAAGACACTCATTTGTGTACGACTTCTAGATTTCGAAAACAATAGAAACAGCTTTGCAACAAGTTTCCCTTAAGCAATAACCATGCAGGTCAAACCTTGCGCAGACGTTTTTTCGCGTTATAGTCATTTCAATGTTGTTTTTACTACAATTTCTAGGAACATGCACTGCGTACATTTGTTATCTGCAAAATTTTCGGTCGGTGAACACCGGTGTTCATTAGTGCAATACGTAATATTGTCAATTCAATTAGGGTTCATTTGGTTTCAATTCGTGTAATTATAGATAAGTTAATGGCATGATAATTTTGTTCATTATAAAATCACACAATAAATAGACATAAAATGAAATGTGTTTTTGTAAGTTTACTTCCAGCGAGATCTTCAACATGTTCGATTGCAAAGATCAGGGATTATTAAAGTAAGATTACTAGAAATACATGCATGCAAAACCCTATCGCCTAGGGAAGCAATTAACATAATCCGACGGCGAAAGGTTATTGTCAAAGGTCACATCAATTGAATGATCGATTTACCAGTCAAGTCCTCAAATATAATTAAGTTGGTTTTAAGTTGGTTTTGTATTCTTGATGATAAAACACAATAGACTTCGACCATCTTCCGAGTGAAAGCATGCAATAACGACCTATTTAAGGTAAGGGAAAGTCATTGAAACCAAAGAATTGCTCGGCGATGGAAACGATAACCTCGTCACATCCCACGATATGCTGAGGACAAGTCTACAGAAAACTTCTTTGTAATTTTAATTCATTTATGGCGCTGCTTTTGACCAGAACACCACAAAAATAAAAAACAATTTACCGGTTTCGTTGTTGTCGCATAGCAACAAAGTACATTGGGACCAAAGAATTTTCATTCAATGCAGACACGATATTTCCTATTTTACTACGCCAGAGGGAGGGTTCTGGTTTATATAGTAAAATTCAGGTTTCACGGACTATATCGGAACCTGATAAATCTAAATTTAAAAAGGAAATTTAATAGCAAATATGTAAATTTTGTTGTTTTAAACACAATCAAGATACATGAACTTGCCACAGTTAAATTACCAAATACTCCACAACTAAGTTTTAACTACATACGCCTTATTAACCACCCGAAGGTATAGTTAAAAAAACGTAGGCTACTTTAATCACATAGTTAAGCCAGTTTGGACAAAAACATGGTTAGCGTTAATCATAGTTAATTAAAGTGGTTAATCATGCATCCTCAAAGGCATCGTTAGGCAATGTTTTTTGAACTTTTTCCTTTATTTATTACATTTTTCCCAATATTTTCGATCAAAATACTGTCATTTTTGGTAAACACGAGTCCTCGGGCTTGTTAAAAATCATATTTAAAGTTAACGACGTTTGTATACAACCGGCCCCAGGGTCCAGTTGTATAAAAGACTAGTTAACTTTCAACTGTTAATGACAGAATTGGCCAATCAGAGTTGTGTATTTCTGAGTTAACTAGGATTTACCTATGCAAAGTGTAGTTAAAGAGTTTTATACAACCGGCCCCAGACTGCGCCAAAATGGGTACGTAAGTTTTCATAATTATTATCTTTTACCATATTTATTATCTTTTTTTTCATAAATATACTGGATGTCTTTGAGACATTTCCGCTGCTTCCGAAATTGAAACCCTCTAACACTCTCCTGAACTCTTAACACTCTTTTAAACTTTTTTTTTCGTGTTTTACTGAATTTTTTTCCAAATGATTAACACTACATTTTCAGTTCGAAATCGAAAATGAACATGGGACATAAATAGTCATGCACATCCTATGTGAAAGTGCATTTATAATATAACATTTATACTACGCGCATGCTGATTTTTTAGTACGCGTATGCGAGAAGCGTGTTTCCATAACTGTATAGAAACACGGAAATTTTCCAATCAGTTTGGAGATTTACAGGCAAATGGCATGCTGTCCTGTTCGCTTATTAGTGGATTACAACTGGGGATTCCTGTCTCGTGTGACGGCTTTGCCAATCTTCTTAAAAAAGGCTTTCCGCCTCTGTGGACTCTAAATATAAGTCTCCAAATACTTCTAAAGATAAGTGTTATTCATTTCGAATAGGTGCCGCCTCCCACGCAGCTGAACACGGGCACTCTGATGCCCAAATTCGAGCGATTGGGCGTTGGAAATCGAACGCAGAGTTTCTGCTCGAAATTTCCTGCTATTTTGTTTCTTCCTCAGCTTGCACATGGTAGCAAGGGCGATCGTTTTGCATGCCGGGGGAGGGAATAAAGTGGTTATAACCGCTAGGGTGATGGCAATGGCGCGGCGGTATTGTGACTCTGCTAGACTAATATCAATTAAGTGCAGATTATCAGCAAGGGTGATAATCTGTACCTTTCCACGGACTTTGCAAGTGCCTTTTGCCCATGTTCGTTTATACGGTCGCGCAGACCGCAGATCCTGTATTAATGTATTACGAAACTTTTGGCATACATACCTATTCCTTGGAGTGCGGTCAACTTGCTTTGCTTCGTTTTTTGGCCGTAATTTGCCTCCACCCTTCTCTGGGCAAAAATATTTGGAATTTTAATGGAATTTATTCATAAATATCGTACTGTTTGACAGAAATAAACCGGCTAGGAGAGCTATTACCCTAGCCTAAATTATCATTTACCTTGTCGCATTATAGCTTGTAGGTATCAAATAAACAGGCTCTTAGCTAGCGAATATTGAAAGAGCACGCCACGTACGTACTGTGGAGTGCCTTCCCTCTTTGGCAATAAAAGTTTGATGTTTGTAAATGTAAGCATAGTTTACATTTATAGTTTGAATTGTGTAAATGTTTTCTCACGTAATTGCACGGATGAAGGCCAAGCTTCGCATTATTAAATATTTATGTGGGGTATGTACAAGCTAATTTTCCTATAATTTGATGTCACTATTCATTTTCCTTTGTTAATTAATAGCTATTAATAAACAAATTTGTTAGTGAATTAGTGTCTACGCTCAAAATTACAACAGATTTCATAGAATCTGAATTCAAAAACACTGACACAATGACCTTTTTGTCTGCATGAACTGGAAGCTGAGTTATTTTGCAATAAACCCCTCAAAACAGCGGGGTCAGTTTTACAACATGTTGCTTATTACTTCGACTCCATAGACGAGATCACAATTTCGGCTTAGTTTACGTCACAATTTAGGCTTGGTTTACGTCAAAATTTCGGTTTGGTTTACGTCAAAATTTCGGCTTTGTTTACGTCTAAATTACGGCTTGGTTTACGTCAAAATTTCGGCTTGGTTTACGTCAAAATTTCGGCTAGGTTTACGTCAAAATTTTGGCTTGGTTTACATCAAAATTTCGGCTTGGTTTACGTCAAAATTTCGGCTAGATTTACGTCAAAATTTCGGCTTGGTTTACGTCAAAATTTCGGCTTGGTTTACGTCGGAACGTCACATCCTTCTTATAGACCTTAATATCATACCACATGGGCATAAAAAAGTCTGTTTGAAAATTTATACAAATATTATGTCGACTTTCGAAGCGGATATCATTGAGTATTCTGGATACAGTTTCTTGCACCATAACCGGTGCATGTGCATCAATAAAACTTGGGTTATCCTCAAGTGAACTATCTTTCATCTTTAAGTGAACTGTAACCCCGCTTATACCACGGCTCAATTTATCGACACCCCACAGCTAAAATGGGTACCCGTTTGGCCTTTATTTTGGTAGCTAGAACACCAAAAAGATTGGGTAAGGGTACCAATTTTAGCCACGTTGTTCCAATAAATTTACTGCATGTAGTGTAAACAGGGCTTTATATAACATAATGTTTACTTATTTATTATTCAATTCAATTCATTCATTCACCGAGCCCCCCCCCCCAGTACAGTGGAAAATGCGGCGTCTAGTGCAGACTACGTACTACGACTACGTAATAAGACTCCGTTCTTCGACTCCGCACTCCGCACTTTCCACTATGACGAATAATTTCGTGCATTATTGCCTTTGACCCAGGTTCTTTTCTCTATTGTTTAGTCACGTGTCTCCCATATTCTGGGAGGTTACAAAAAAATCATACAAGGGAAGGGTGGATGTGCATTATTGTTATGATAATATGAGCGAAATATAGCTCGAACTGCGAGTGATGCGAATTATGATATGCGGATAACTCAACCACGTACCCAGGATCTTATAAAATCTTGTTTTAAAAATCTTGTACATTTCTCTTCGCAATGACTGAGTAAGATTTTATAAATAATCAATTTAAATGAAATTTATCAAAACCACAAACGAATGATCTAAAACGTAGCTTATGCCATTGTTATGGGATAGCTTACCTGAAGAAATTTGTATTCTAACCTTCCTTCATCAATTTAAGAAAGCTACAATTTATTAGTACTTTAATTATTTATATAACGACTCTCATACAGCAAGTTTGTAAAGCAGTTGAATTTTTTAAAACTGCAGATTCCTCCGTATTTAAACCAATTTTTTGTATCGTCTATGGTATCGCAGATACGTGTCGACGGCCGAAAATGCAACGAATGTAGATACCCTCTAAATCGCTTCAAAATTTCCGAGATATTTGTTGCGTTTATAAAAATGTATTTTCGACAACAGATATGCTATTTTTTAAAAAATCACATTTTAATCATACTTTTGTCGAGGTTTTCATTCAACAATGGTAACCTAATAACTGTTAAATAGTTCATGTAAACCACAATTATATATACAATAGATCACTAATAAGCCGCGCGCATTTGAGCCAATGCACGCTATACAACTGGAGTGATAGTGGGTGATAAATATGTTCCCAGGCGTCTTGTTTACACTTTAAGCTATGTGCACACGAGCGTCGTTTTCGAACGTTTTCAAAATCGTTTTTATCTAGTTTATCGCTTTCACACCTTGTCCACACGATCCAAGGTAAAATATGTTCAATATGTTAAATTAGCTCATAGGCGGCCCAGAACTGATCTCGCTAATCTCGCTGACCTCGCGCGACGCTCATGTTGTCTGATCGAACAGTCTTATATTATGACAAGGTAGGCAACTCTCACGCCAAATAAGCTAAAAACGCGCGACGGTTGACTCAAACACCTTCACAAAACCGCAAATATTTCATAAAAATATGGCGAATAAGAAAAAAAAAGTACAACACATTAAACTTGAATAATTTTACTACATTTATACTATATTTTTAGCATTCAAATGTATTCCTATGCTGCTATGCATGTATAAAACGTGAATATATTTGCCAGAAACCCAAAAAACATTCACGTTTTTTACATGCATAGGAATACATTTGAATGCTAAAAATATAATATAAATGTAGTAAAATTATTCAAGTTTAATGTGTTGTAGCCTACTTTTTTTTCTTATTCGCCATATTTTTATGAAATATTTGCGGTTTTGTGAAGGTGTTTGAGTCAACCGTCGTGCGTTTTTAGCTTATTTGGCGTAAGAGTTGCCAACCTTGTCATAATATAAGACTGTTCGATCAGACAACATGAGCGTCGCGCGAGGTCAGCGAGATTAGCGAGCGAGATCAGTTCTGGGCCGCCTATGATTAGCTTCAACTTTTATTACAATTTGACGGTGTTTCAAACCGTCTTGGCATGAAAACAAAGATGAAAACGCTCGAAAACGTTATGGTGCATGTGAACATAGTCTTAGATATACTCTACAGCAGAGTTGCAAAAAGAGTTCAACCTTCCTCTGGTAGGATTTCAAGTTTTGAAAACCTTAAAATCCTACCTTAAACTCATCAAAATGACGTTACGTCTCTGAGTCAAGTGGTAACCAAAATTAAGAAAGATTTGGTTTTTTGCTACATGCATGTGATCAAATAGAGTGTTCAACTTTGAACCTTCCTCACAAACCTCATTCCAAGCAAACCTTCGTCACAAACCTCATTCAAAGCAAACCTATGACTATGTTCATGAAAAAGAACACAGCTGTTATACAGAATACTGCTGTTATTGCTGTCCTTTGACAAATTCATTTTGTTATCCAAATCTTCTTAGTCTCCATTAATAAAAGAAGCCCTCAGCGCTTCGTGAGCATAAGGTCTATCATCAATCTTATGACTAATCAGCCACGACACAAAATGCCGAGCTTCACGATCATCAAGTCTGTCAATACTAACGCAGTTTCCTTCTAAAATATTTCTCATTCGATCAAACGAAGAGCCAAAAGGGTGTTCACCTTTAGTTAAGACGAAGAAAGCAATCATACCCGCGACCTGGACATCTGATTTCCTTTTGAAAGGACCTTTCTCGTTTTTCTCTATTGCCTTGATTACTTCAGGTGGCATCCATCCCGGAGTACCTTTAGCGAATGTTTGAACTGTCGTTTGGTCGTCTTTTAGGACGCGACTTATTCCAAAGTCTGCCAATTTCATGCGACCTTCAATATCAACCAGGACGTTTGATGGTTTTAGGTCTCTGTGCAATATTCCTTTACGATGAAGAAAGTCAAGTCCGACTAGAACCTCCTTTATCATTCGTGGACCTTGCTCTTGTAGATGTTCAATTTTGCATGCATGAACAAGTTCCCTCAAGTTTTCTTCGCAAAGATCTACAGTAAGATACATGAAAGTATCGTCACGGTGAAAATGTCGATAGCTCACTATAAATGGAGAGTTGTCTGTTTTAATAAGTTTCAGGATCTCCTTTTCGTTTTCGATTGTTGTATCTTCACTTTGCACCAATATTCTCTTAACAGCAACTTCGCTTCCATCCTTCATAAGACCAACATAGACACAAGAAAAACCACCATCGCCAATTTTGAATTGATTCCTTGCGACAAAGGCCGCTACCGGAACTCCAATCTATCAGAAAAAAAATTATGATGACGAGAAAAAACAGCAAAAGAAAGCATTCTATGGTTGCAATTAATGCAAGCGAAAATGAACAAATTTTGCAGTAGGTCTCTAAATCTCAAATAAATGCAACATTTGCATATCTTTAGCATAAAGACTAGAACCAGCATATTAGAGACCTTAACGTGACCCTTATATGATGTTTCACGTTCGCCGTATAAGATTTAATGCTTGAATGCTGAGGGTGTATGTAGTCGTTGAAGCATTAACGTGAAACATATTATACGGCAAAGCTGAATTAGCAACTTTTTAAAATACATCAGAAATAGTCTATTGCTTTCTTATGCTGCTGAACATCACAAGTTTTATGCAAAAAGTTTGCAATTTAGCGAAGCACACTTAAAGATAGAGGAGTAAAAACACAAACTTTGTTATAGCGGTTTGGCGTCTGCCGTGTTATCCCTATATTACTGCACAAACACATTAAAACAATCTCATATACGTTTGTAAATATTACCTTTTTTAACTGGGTGCCATTCATTGATTTTAACATCTGAATTTCCTCACGATGTTTCATGGACCTTTTCAGGATACTTGCAATTTCATCATGACCAAGGTGAATACACCATTCAATAAGACTCATTTCCCTTCCTTCAACAAGAAATGTCCCAATTCTCCAAACAGCAATATCTTTCTCCAACAATTTATTGATCAAAGCAACTGAATTGTTCACAATAGCCATCTCCAGGATGTCAATACCAAGAGAATGAAAGTCCCTTTTACTTTCAAGAGTTACGTCAGAACCCTGCTCGACTAAATACTGGACAATTTCCAATGTACCTGTATCCACAGCAATGTGCAACACTGACAATCCATCAGCATCATTACAATTTATGTCAGCACCGTGCTCAACCAGATATCTCACAATTTCCAGCCTACCTTTAGTTACAGCGCAGTGCAGCACTGTCTTCCCATCAGACTTCTTTCCATTTACATTAGCACCATTTTCCACAAGATATTTTACTTTATCAAGCTTACTTTCAGTAACAGCAGAGTGCAGCACAGTACACCCGTTAGTCTTCTCACTATTTATATCAGCGCCCTTTTCCACGAGATATTTCACTACATTCAAAGAACCTTCATTAATACAGGAGTGGAGCACAGTCCACCCGTCAGTATCCTTGCCATTTACATCAGCGCCCATGTCAATAAGATATTTCACCATTTCCAGCGTACCTTTAGTAACAGCAAAGTGCAGCACAGTCCACCCGTCAGTATGTTTGCTATTAACATCAGCACCCTTTTCAACGAGATATCTCACCACTTCTAGCCTACCTTTATTAACGGCATAATGCAGCGCCGTCCACCCGTCAATTACTTTGGCATTTACATCAGCGCCGTTTTGAACAAGATATTTCATCATCTCTAGCGTACCTTTAGTAACAGTGCCGTGCAGCACTGTCCACCCATTCTTCTTCTTGCTATTTACATCAGCGCCCTTTTCAACCAGATATTTTACTATTTGCAGCGTACCTTCAGTAACAGCACAGTGCAGCACTGTCCACCCATTCTTCTTCTTGCTATTTACATCTGCCCCCTTTTCAACAAGATATTTTACTATTTGCAGCGTACCTTTAGTAACAGCACCGTGCAGCACTGTCCACCTATTCTTCTTTTTGCTATTTACATCAGCGCCCTTTTCAACAAGATATTTTACTATTTGCAGCGTACCTTCAGTAACAGCATAGTGCAGCACTGTCCGTCTTTGAGAATCCCTGCAATTGACGTCAGCGCCCTTTTCAACGAGATGTTTCACTATTTCTGGGCTACCCCTATTAACAGCATAATGCAGGACCGTCCGCCCGTCAATTACTCTGGCATTTACATCAGCACCGTTTTGAACAAGATATTTTACCATTTCTAGCGTACCTTTGGTAACAGCACAGTGCAGCACGGTCAACCCATTCTTCTTCTTGCTATATAAATCAACGCCTTTTTCAACAAGATATTTTACTATTTCAAGCGTACCTTCAGTGACAGCAGTGTGCAGTACTGTACTGCCATAAGTATCCTTTCCATTTACATCTGCGCCCTTTTCAACAAGATATTTTACCATTTCTAGCATACCTTTGGTAACAGCACAGTGCAGCACAGTCCACCCATTCTTCTTCTTGCTATTTACATCAACGCCTTTTTCAACAAGATATTTTACTATTTCAAGCGTACTTTCAGTGACAGCAGTGTGCAGCACTGTACTGCCATAAGTATCCTTACCATTTACGTCGGCGCCCTTTTCAACAAGATATTTTACCATTTCTAGCGAATCCTTTGTAACGGCGGTGTGGAGCACTGTTTTTCCGCAAATCTTCTTGCCATTTACATCAGCACCCTTTTCAACAAGATATGTTACTAGTTCTGGCGTACCTTCGATAATAGCAGAGTGGAGCACTGTCCATCCCTCTGCATTTTTGCTATTGACATCAGCACCTTCTTCAACAAGATATTTTATTATTTCAAGTATTTTCTTACTAGAAGTTGGACGTTGTAAAAGTTGAAAAACACGCCAAAGAGTTGCTTTCTTCCAACGATCTTCTTTGTTTTCACCATATTCAACTTGCTTTCTTATTTCGTCCCAAAATGTCTGTTTTCCTTCTTCGAATACATTTGTACTTCCCCTTGCCTCTTCTTAATTGACCACCTGACTTCTTAATTGTACCTACATATAGATGCAGCGAGGAGAAATTACTTCTTAAAAAAGCTTTTGATTTGGTTAATGAAATCTTCTAGGCCGTATTCTCTGGCACGAAAAGTCGCTTAGAAAACGATTTTCGTTGCCCCCCTTCGGGCACTACTTGAAAACAAGATAGAAAATTAGGATAAATTATAGAAAGTCTAAATTCACTTGTTTTCACCTTCACAAACCTGCAGTTTTCGAGCATTTCATCTTTGAAAAATCAGTGAATTTGCATGTTTTGCAATACACCGACGCCATTTTGATTCAGGAAATGTCTCGGATACTTGGTGTAATATACGACATATATAGCAGATTCAGCAGTTTTATACCAGTATTTAAATGAAGTTACCAGCATTTTTGCTGTGCAAGCAGGTTTCAACAAGGAAGCTTTGAGTGGAGTTTTACAAGGTTTTTCGCAAATTTTCATAGTTTTTCAAAACTAAATTAGTCAGAGAAGACTTAGACAACAATTAATCGGAAAAACATCCACCAATTTTGCTTACACGCATCAAAATCATCCACGAGTGTTTTGTTTCTAGTCAAGTTATATAAAATAATTACTACACAATTCCTTTCCAGCATAACCTTTGTTTTATATTAACTACTTTTATAATACACACGCTTTCTCAAGAAAACTATTTACAACATCTCAGTTTTTTGACAAAGTTAATTACCAACGCCTTTATCTTATTATCATCAATCCACTAAAAACGAATTTTTAGTGCGAAGACCCAGACATCTTTACGAAGTTGAAAAAGAACAAATTTCAAACATTTTCCTTATGAAAACGTGTGAGGACTTGTGAAAACTGCCAAGTTGGCCCAATTCCAAACTTGCTGAAGTATTGGAAAATGAATCTGGAAATCCAGAAGTCAATGTTTGTGCATTTAACAACAATGCACTGATTGTAGATGCTATGGCAGTTATTCAGTCGGTGAAAGGAAAATGGAAAACATTTGGCGATGATGCTCTTTTAAAAACCTCAACACGCTAGCACGAAAGTATAATTCCAAACGATTAGATTGTTGCAAACAGGTATCCTTAGTTGAGCATAAAGAATGCAGAGAGACAACGAAGAGCTGAAAAGTGAAAAAGGAGTCCAGAAAGGTCAAATCTTCAGAAAAGATCAGAGTGTTCCAAAACAGTGGAAAAAGTGTTTAAGATCCGGTGGAAACAAGGAATCTTTCATATCTATGTAAACACTGGAGGTCATGTAACTCCTCCCGGTGGTTTTCCATTTCAACTATGTACGTAACTGCTAAAGAAATATGCTATGTTTTATATCCCGGTGATTCCCCGAACGATATTGTTACAAGTAATGAGGTGTCTTCGCTTCATAGCACCACGAAGAAGCAGACACTCGTTTAATTCTACATGCCAACCACGCAGCAGCAACGTACGATAAAGTTATCATCAAAAGCCCTGATACAGATGTTCTTATACCTGCGATTGGCATGCAACAACAGATCCAGAAAGAGATTTTCTTTTTGACTGGCACGGGAGATAGACGTCGTTACGTATTTGTAGCAATTATCTCGAAATTCTTGGGCGTGGCTGTTGCTCTTTGTTTACCAGGCTTTCATGCTTTTACCGGTAATGGCATTAGCAGTCAAGCAGCATCATGGTATCAGTGTTTAATGCAGAAGTCGATCTTCCATCACTGGTTGGCAATGGCTGGACGCTTGACGATAAAGAACTGGAGATAACTTGGATGACACGCCCACCCGCTCCGCGATCTTTAATTGAGTGTGTTGAGTGCAAGTGAAAGATTCTAGATGCTCGACCATGCGTTGTTCCTGCAAAAAGGCTGACTTAATTAAAGTGCACCGACCTATGTTCGTGTGGTGATTGCCAGAATGCAGTAGTTGAAGATGGTAACGACGATGATAGCAGTTATGGCTCAATCTGATGACGATGATGAACTTGAAGGATCAGGATCTAATCTGGATTTCGAAGATGACGTCGATGATGAGTTGTGGTATTAGCTGTCCGATTAAAAGGGTTGAGTTCAACATTTTATTTGTGTTTTAAAATTATAAGGCGCTCGTAATTCTCCCACACTGGTATTAAAACGTATGGCTGATATCAACCTTGGTATGCGTGTTCAATATTTTAACATGTACAGTAGTTGTACGTTGCAAATCACGTTTAAATTGATGTTGGCGTTGGTAATTAACTTTGTCAAAAAACTGAGATGTTGTAAATAGTTTTGTTGAGAAAACGTGTGTATTATAAAAGTTGTTAATATAAAACAAAGGGTATGCTGGAAAAGAATTGTGTAGTAATTATTTTATATAAATTGACTAGAAACAAAACGCTCGTGGGATTATTTTGATGCGCGTAAATAAAGTTGTTCTTATTTATTTGTAAATTCCAAGAGCTGAATGCTATAAAAAAATCGTAAATTGGCGGATGTTTTTCCGATTAATTGTTGTCTAAGTCTTCTCTGACTAATTTAGTTTTGAAAAACTATGAAAATTTGCGGCAAACCTCGTAAAACTCCACTCAAAGCTTCCTTGTTGAAACCAGCTTGTGCAGCAAAAATGCGGAAAACTTCATGTAAATACCGGTATAAAACTGCTAAATCTGCTATATATGTCGTATATTACACCAAGTATCCTAGACATTTCCCGAATCAAAATGGCGTCGGTGTATTGCAAAACATGCAAATTCACTGATTTTTCGAAGATGAAATGCTCGAAAACTGCAGGTTTGTGAAGGTGAAAACAAGTGAATTTAGACTTTCTATAATTTATCCTAATTTTCTATCGTGTTTTCACGTAGTGCCCGAAGGGGGGCAACGAAACTGAACGATAATCGGCCACAGAATACGGCCTATTCCGCAACCACAACCATTTTTGGAATTTTTATATCGTAACGATCATGAGTAGACATCTCAAACATGGTTGTGTTATGGCCAGAATGAGAAAAAGTATATTTGTAGTATTTGAAAAACAAGCAATATTGTTTGCATTTGGCAAACATGCATGAAAATCAAAGATGCATGTGTTCACAAATAATTAATGACATGAAAAATGTGGCTATTTTTAAAGCATTAAATAAACCATTATTATGATTTCCAAGCAAACGAGGTATCACAGAATTCTTGGATGCTAAGATGAATTTTGAAGCAAAATAGACATCCGAAACATGCAATTTGATTTCTAAACGCGGGGCACAAAGCTTTAATAGGTTAGTAGGTCAAAGTCCGGGGAGAAGGTGCTTAATGCCTTATTAGATTATAGCTGATGTGATTAAACATTTTATGGGTGCAACCGCTTCTTACGTGCAGGCTTCTATGGAAACAGCATAGCTACGTCATATCAGTTACAGGGAATAAAAAAACACCAGTTGATCATATTTGTAAATTGAAACAATTTGTAGCATATAATGACTGCCAAAAGAGATGTTCTTTCGTACTGGAAGCTGCAAAGTTAGATGACTTATGTTTGATTTTATCTTAGTTCATGTGATTAAAAGGTTGTTGGAAGCAACAGCATCAGTGAATGCTGCCGCGGCATAAAGGTTCAAGAGTGAAAGAATTGTGGAGAAGAAAAGAAGGAATATTACAGAGGACATTTAACTGCTAAGATTTTTTACTTTATTTATTTTAATTTTGACTGGATAGTTGTAGATCTAATGACAATAATGAATTATTTAAAACCTTCTGCAAAGTTATATATTATTGTTATATATTAAATTTTCATTGTTCGACAGACTCACATGTCACATGCGCATGCGGAATTTCACATGTGGATCAGAAATATATGAAATTGCGCATGTGAAGTTTCAAAGGTTCAAAATTTACATGTGAAATTTCACACATGTGAGATAATATGGATTTTTCGTAGGGGACTATATGATAGGCGAGACGGATAAAAAACTATACCATTTTCCAAGGCAGTAATCACATAAATTGTTTAGAAAATGAATCTGGTTGCAACAAGCCATATAGTTAAGCATAGGCATTTCGCAAGTGACTTTCCAGAATCTGAAAAAAATAGACAAGTATCGAACGAACAGAGAGAGGAAACTTTACACTGGAAACTTCATTGATTAAAATTAAAACATGAATAGACAGATAGTAAAAACTCCGGTTTAGATCAGGGGCTTGGATTTCTGCTGGAAACGTGGTAATTTCTTTTAATTTTCCCCATATTCCCTTGTTTTTCGGTTCCATAATTTAAAGAAGCTAAAAAAATGTAAGATAAGGAACAGGGAAAATGTTCAAAAAACATCAAAATAATTTTTTAAACGAAAAAGGCGCTGTTGGAATCAAACTACAGGTCGCAGATGACTAATCTTCACTTCGGCGTCAATCGAAATCGACACGTAAAATCGACACGAAAATAAGAGCATATTGAAGGTGTACAAGCTTCGACAGAGCCTTTTCTGAGGCGAGAACCATTGAAAACCTCGTTATAAGTTTCTTTTGATGTTTTCTTACTCCTTAATATTTCAAGACACCGTTTTTAACTATGTTTCAGAAAGTAAAGGATGCCCTTGAGGATGATTAATTTTAACTAAGTTTAGCTTAGCTAAATTTACTAAAGTTTATCATCATTATCGTCCTCATCAGCTATGATTAACGCTAAACTACATTTTTTAACTACTTTGTTATATACAGCTGGCTTATAACTACGTGATTAAAGTAAATGACGTTTCAGTATAACCG